CAAACCATCCACAACACTAAGGTGATTTTTGTTTGGCTTTCTTATTTCTCACTTGTTTTCCAGCAGTTCTACACGACCCACGAATTGACTTTCACTGATCTTATCGTATGGTTATGATATATCTTCTGAAGAGTGTAAATTCGGCAATGTGTACTGGTCATTTTACTGCTCGCTGCGTTGTCTAATTTCATTTGGAAACAGCGCTCAAAAGATGAAAGCTTTCATTTCAAAGAATCTAGTTGTGGTCAGTGATGGACGTTCATCGGACGATAACAGTTATCAAAAGCCTGATAACCAAGAAAAGAGTCTGCGTAAAATGTTCGGTAACAGTCGTGCTCGTTCGGGTGTTATTGTGCTACCGTGTGGTGCGGGTAAAACATTGGTTGGTGTGACGGCTGCAACCACTGTAAATAAACGATGTCTAGTGCTGGCCACTTCNGTTGAACAATGGAGAGCACAGTTTAAGGTTATTTCTCAGATTGAGTGGATTAAGAAAGATTTCTGATCGAAGGAACGCTAACTTTCACGGATAGATTTCGTATGATCATATGTCGGATCGTTCAGTTCGTTTGTTATTTTGTAAAGCATTCTCATGTAATCGGCGCCTTATGATGTTCATCATGCATCGTATAATTCTGTCAGATTTAAATTGTTATGAAACGAATATTATTAACATTCTATTGCGCATTAGCAACCGTAAAAGGCATTCATCATTTTTTTATTCGTTTCTCATCGAGTGAAGTCAAAGGTAAGTATAGACGATGATATGAGTTTAAGTTGTGGTCAACAATTCGTGATGATCAACTGACAAGATTCACTCGTGAGGCAAGAGATCCGGTGCCATCAGGCCCAAATGCTAATAAGCCTGTTGTTTGTATCAGTACCTATTCGATGGTAGCCTACACAGGCAAGAGGACGTACGCAGCAGAAGAGGCGATGAAATACATCGAAAGTCTTGAGTGGGGATTACTTTTACTTGATGGTATGTCCCGGTTGAATTTGCTTTGATCTTCATTCATCGATGAATCGAATCACTAAATTTGTTGCATTTTTTGTCAATTGTTCATGAAAAAGTTTGCTAACAGCAAACATTGATGAGAGTAATATGGATTCCTTCATAGGGTGATATGGCTTTTTAAAGAAACAACTGTTAATAGATCTGCACTGAAGTTGTTTGATAAGGATAAGTCAGCAGGAAAGATATACGAGACATTGATTATTAAAATAGTCAATATTAGAGCAATTTCCTATCAAATGCGATTGAGTATTTATTGAAGAGGTGCACACAATACCGGCAAAAATGTTTCGTCGTGTTCTGACGATAGTTCGTGCTCACTGT